GAATTTTCCTTCACAACTATTCCTCATAGACACTCATGCTGCTGCATTAACCCATTCAGGTACCAATCGATTTGTCATCTGTAAGTGATGTTGCCTAAATGGGTAAACAGAGAAATTGTGATTTCAGCAAAAAAATTTGTATGAAAGGGTAAAGAAGTTTAAAATAAAATGTTATATGAAAGTAAGTGGTGCCAGCAATTGTCGTAGAAATCTACAATTTCACACGAAAGAGTATCCTCTCGACAACTTTATTTCTCATATGGTGTTATGAATCAAACAATTTTTTTTAAATGGGAAGAATTGTCATGTTAAGCTTTCTTGCCTACTGGCCTTTGCACCAAGCTTTGCAATTGAATTGGTCTCCCTTTTTCCGGATTCTTGTCGCCTGAAATGGAAAAACCCAGGAGTACTTCTATGGACAGAAGAGCCTGCGTGCTTACTGTGCATGAATCAAACTCTGATAAGAAGTAATGTTGTATGGCGGGCGAGAACTGACCCGAAACGGTCATATTTATCTCTCATGCCACGATTCCATCAACAATAACGATGTTTTGTTTATCCTGTTTTGTTAGCGAACACACATCAATGAAACGATTTATCATAGAAATTCTCAAAATATTTCTCCCGCAGCAACAACTGAAGCAAATCGCTATATCTTTTCTTTTTCTTAATTCAGGCCATGGGAATCCTGGTTCTGTTTGCCATCTTGGCAGCTGCCTTCGCATATGCTGACAACGAGGCTGACGATCTTGACATTCAGGAAGCCAAATACGGCGGATTCGGTGGAGGCAAGTCCTTCGAAAACGCCGAAAACGAAACCATTCCCCACGAGTCTCTAACAGCTGGTGTCCATTTTTTCTAGGCTACGGAGGAGGACGAGGCTTTGGTGGTGGACGAGGCTTTGGTGGCGGACGCGGTTATGGCGGCGGTTATGGCGGCGGATTCGGCGGAGGACGATTCCGCGGTTGAAGGATACTACGGTCAACGGATTCAAACGACATCGACTATCGATAGATGACCAATATGGAAATGTCTACCTATTCTTTGCAGAATTCTTTTTTCTCCCTTAACTTGTGATTTGAGTTTGATGAAATGAATGTGAAATCATGTCCATTTATTTCTCAGTCATGTACCTTCTCTTTTCCGAGCTAGACAATAAAAGGATCTCTTTTCTTATGCTCCGAATTTCACTACGAAAGAAACTAATCGAACGAATCGAAAAAATGCATCACGAGGAAAAACGACTGCTAAGACCTGAGTCATGAGAAGGGGCGATGAGTGGGTCGCCATGGCAGTTGCGGTCTTGAGTCGCACCCTCGAAGCGACTTTCGATCTGTTCCGTCGTCCTTGATTCCGCGGCCACTGGACAAGAAATTCACATCTTCAGTGGGAAATTAATTTTTGTCGACCCGTTCGGCGAACAAAGATAAGGGCATGTTGAATTTCTTAGACGAATAACTAGGATGAACATATTCGCTGATGAAGGTGCCTTTTATTAGGAATTGAAGATTTGATCTAGAGACGATAGGAACAACTTTCATGCTTGACTGGATTCAAACGATTGGCAACTTCTAGCGATGAAACTAGGGTGACGAGTAAGTTATACCTACCGGTATTGAATGAAGTCGAATATCACCACCAGGAAAGATAAAAAGGGAATAACACCATTGCCTTATGAGTGCTTCATGAATTCGCGTACTTCTTGGGTGAACGCATCTCTGAGGAAATACGGGCACTGCCAAGAGATTCGGCTTTCTAGAATTTGGGTTTTCGAGGTCAAATCGATTGTCTAGCCTTCGGAAGACAGGGGAGCGTAGAAATGTGCACGAGGGGCACTTCGACATGGCAGGCATTAGCGTTTACAATAGAGGAAAGAATAGTAGCGAGTACGTTGTTCCACGTTCGCGAGCAGTACGAGGAGCTCATCGAATAAAGGTAGAACGGGATTATAAAGCCGATCGTGGGTGTACGCATTCTGGAACAAAAACTAACCATCACAGATCAGCGAAGCTTTGGTTCAAGGTTCAAGGTTTGGGTATTTGCGTATGGAGACGTATCCGGAAATGATGAAGTCCTGTGTTGAGGTCATTCATGTAAATGTATTGTAAAGCCTACCTCTCTTGCGCAGCGATTTTTTGTTGGTAGCATGATCGTACCTACTTCCTATATGCTTACAGAGACACTGCTCCTTTTCTTGTTTTGCCCGTGAAAGCATGAACGACCCACTTAATTAACCTTCTCTGAAGTGAGTTCAATCCCAACACTTAAAACGTTTCTCATATAACAGTCTCTTTTTCTATTTATCTCCCAGTCTGCACGGCAATATTGAGGTGATGTGAGAGCATTCATGTTTCAACATGCATTATGTTGAGTCAGTATTGAAGGACATGGATTGCCACAATGACTCACGATGAGCCAAACGTTGATTTTATACAAGTCTCAACAATGTTGAGACCTGTGACCATAGGCGGAGATTTGTTGAGAAATTTGGGGGGGGGCTCCGAACTATTTATCATACTCTTGTCCTCGCTTTCCCTCACCCCCCTCCTCTCAGAGGGATTACGTCTTCATCTGAATCAGTGATTTTCAGTGAAACCTCAGCAACGCATCCTTCACTATGGAAGTACGGAAGGTTTCAAAGTATGTTTCATAAAATTCCATGAAAGACTCGCTCACATTCAGGTCACCCTGAGTCACTTGCGCAAGAAAATTCTGACTTGCTCGGAATGAGAGCAATCTTTCGCTTCGTCGATCATTATAGCGAAAAATTTGGATGAATGGACCTCCTATATTCCTTTCTGCAGGACATCATTATTTGGAGAATCTCATTCTATCCATCCTCAACCATTTTCCGCGACGATGTCCTCGGTTCAACCACTCCCTCAGTTTTTCACAATCATTGGCCCTCACTTTCAGTATCTGAAAGAGGTTTCCTTTATTGTCTTCATGACCTCGTCCTTACCCTCCAAGTAACTGATGAAATGATGGTAATGAAAGTGATCTCTAATGTTCTTCTGGCACGAAGGAGATCGACCCAGCCAATCTGATTTCACCCATCACGTTCGCCCCTGAAAACAGTGCCTGGAGCTTCGAGCATGCCTCACGGCATGTGACACTCGGGCTTCTCACGAGCGGAAAACCTTTCCAATTATTGGATCCAACACTTATAAACGCATTGTCTTTCTTGTTTGAGGACGTTAGGAGGCCTTTCTCGAATGCTTACCCTTCCCTATGGAACGTTTGAATGATAACCAGGCATAACACTCGCGTCACTTCTGTTGGAACTTGCTTCCTCTGTCCCGTTCGACTGAGTACGATACAGAGGGCCGCATCTCAACTTCCTAAGATTTCTCCCCCCCCCCCCCCGCTGGAAGGACTGCACGAATCTTCACATTCAACATTTCTTGTGAGGTCTACTCGGAGGTTTGTGACGGCAAACTTTTCCATTATCCTATGGCACCAATAGCATCATTCATCAAATAGGTTAAGGGAAAGATCTGAGAAAATTGCCGCATGACATGTTGGGAATCATGTCACATTTTCAGGATTGTTGGATGGTGGTTGTTGTTGAGCAAATTTCACCGATGACGAAGGAGGGAAGAAACCAGCAATTGAGTTGTTGGATTTAATATTCACACCATTGAAGGATTTAATCTTCGCACAAATTTCCCTTCAGCCTCCCTCGGTCAAATATCTTTCCCATTCAACCCATTGTCAGGAAGCTAAGCCGAAGGTCTTTTGGCTCCATTTTAATCATCTATTTGTCCTGAGATATTGTTTGCTTTTATTTTTCCACTGAACCTAGAACCAACTGTACACTCCGACGCTACGAACTGTCGGATGGAAATGAAATATTTTCTTGGGACTAAAATCCCCAAGTCAGTTCTAAAAAAAAAAAATAATAATAAAAAAATTTAATTCTTCAGGGGGATGAACTCCTCCCAAATTTTTTGGGGGCTGAGCCCCTCATGCCAAATTTTGTATTTATTTATTTTTTTTTTTTGGGGGGGGGGGGGGGGGGGGGTGGGCC